TAAAAATGTACAAGGACAACATTTGAGGCTTTGTGTCAGCACTAGCTAGTGACTATAGTGCTTATTCCAGCTTTACAAACATATCATTTTATACACCTGAAGCTCATTAACCCATTCCCAAATTTGAATTTTGGGCAAATAATGTGCTGCAATTTGCAGCTTTCAACACACTGAAAATATCACATCAATACTTATATTTCAAGTATTAAAATGATAACATATCTTAATAATATTAATATATTTCATATACTTTGACAAAGGTCGTCTAGCAGTGCCAAATTATGCCAAAGACACTTTATATTGTGGATTGTTATAATTAAACAACAGTGCGTAATTTAGTATAGAATTCCCAATACTATATATTCGAATTCATATTTTATTCTTTCTTCCATCGCTAGAAACCGAAATTTTGTATGTTTTTATGCAAATTGACGCGGCAAATTCAAACATTCAACGGAATATTTTCACACATGACTCAAATTCACTACATTATTTCGGAATTAAAATGCTTAAATAGCATCAAACATGAAAATATTCTTACCTGTAGATCTGAATAACATTTTAAGAACTTTCCAATGCCTTTTCCATCGTTTGGGTTGAAAATATAAGGGAAAATTTCCCTTCAAATCCGTCCATGTGCGAGTTATTTGAAATTGCAATTTTAAAATGACGCTATCCCATGAAGCTTTGCGCCCTCATATGTAAACTAGGTACCAGGCTTCCAGTCAATGCGCGATGAGAAAATCAGAAAACATATTGCTGGTATTTACTGGTAATATGTCTAATATGATAATATCTCATTGAAGAAAACAAATGTACTGTGAATTAAGTATATTATTAAGTCATTATTAGAAAATATTCACGAGCAAATTGTCTTGAAAAGAACAAACTTATTTCAAGAACAAATTGTCTTGCAAAAAACAGATTTCTTAGTTAAGAAATATTTTTCTAAAATCACAATACTTTCACCGATTTTTTGCTGTGTACTAGGCAGTATAAATTAGGCTTGAATCTATATCAATTATAGGTTTATCACATTCTATGAAATTATCTATAGAATATCCCATACCATTTCATTAGAAAATATTCTATAGAATATGTTATTGGATGTTTCATATGAATGTGCAATAGAATATTCTATAGGATCTGGAACTTCTATAGAATATGGCAATAGAATATTCTATAGGATTGCAAGTCCCATAGAATATTCTATAGGATATAGAATATTCTATGCCATATTCTATAGGATTCTATAGAACATTTTCGTAAGGATGTACGTGTGTAAATATTGTTTATATGTAAAGGACTGTAGTATAATTGTAATGCATGTTTCTGTAGGAATTTTACAAGTGTGTTAAAACCGTGTGCCGGGATGGTAAAAGGTGTAAAGTACTAAAAGCAAAATAAAAGTCAAGATTGATTAAAGCGTTCGAACCCTGTTTCGTACATCGTAAAATTCCAATGTTCATTCACAAAGTATATAAAGTGTTCGCTTGATTTATGTATACGCATTACACATGGATGAGCATAGACTTAGCGAAGCCGAAACTCAACCTCAAGAAAATACACGGTCTGCTGTCCGCGAGAGAAGACCGAATTCAACAATTGACCAACAAGAAGTACTCCAAGAGAAATTAAATACGCTTGAACATTCTCGTCGGGGCTACCTAGGATCGCTTACCCGAATTTACAATCAAATCGATGAGTTGTTAAGCAGTTATGATAATGTAGCTCAAGTAAAAGAATTCCATTCAAAGTTACGGTTGGCTTGGCATCAATATGAAGCGTGTTGTGTCCATTATTTAACGTTAATTGACAAGAAAGGCGAGTTATATAAACGCGTCAGTGCGCAGTATGAGGAACAAACGTTCAGAAAACAAACTTACGATGTTGCTGTAGACCAATATGTGACTGATTCTCTTGTTCATTTTAATGCTCAAGTTATGGAAGATGTAGCGCGACAAAAAACGAGCTCTGTCGGATCTGACATTTCGAGAATTAGTAGCGCAACGTCCAAACTTCGCGAAGCAAAGCTGGCAGCGACGAAAGCGTCATTGATCGAAAGACAAACTGAAAGTAGAAAGAAAAGAGCTCTTCAACTTGAATTGGCGAAAATGGACATGGAGATTAAACGTAAGGAATTTGAATATAATCAACGTCTTGAGCTTGCGCATATTGAGATGGAAAATGAAGTCGTAGCCGCACGAGATAACACAGAGCTGGCAGAACTTGAAGCTCGAATAGCAGAACAAGAAGTTTCCGAGTTAACGAAGCACAAGGAGAAAGACAAGGAGAGCAACCGTACATGTTCTTCCCCATTAATATCCTCATCTTCGAATTCATACCAGGAACGCAATTCAGCCCATCCAGCTACAGCTGATCATATTCCTCCCATTGGACAATCAAACGTACCAAAGGAAACGTCGCCATTAAAAGATAACCCAAACGCTAATCGTGCGACAAGTATCCTTCATGAAGGTATCAAACAAACCCACCAATTTCCCACAGATGCCCCTGGTTATCCTGAACCATTGCGTTACCTCCCACCAGCTACAAAATCCCAGCGTCAGTCAGCAAGTCCAACTCAAGCAAAAAATAGAAGTGACGTGAACAGAAGATTTTGGAATCAAGATGATGTTACTGTTCCTCAACCTACTGGTTCCACCCCCTTCGTTCAAGATTCACTCCTCAGTTCTCTGGTAACAACAATCGAAAAGATTGGTATTTCTCACGATTTTCCTACAATTCAAATAATGAAATTTGATGGTTCTCCACAGAACTTTCCAGTATTTCGGCAAAGATTTGAGCAGTTGGTCCAGTCGAAGCCGCTTGACGAATCGACGAAAATGTCACGTTTGTTACAACTTCTCGATGGTGCGCCGTTAAACGCTGTAAAGAGATACGAGACGATTCCTGGTGGTTTGACGCAGGCGATGAAACTGCTCGAGGATCGATTTGGTAGACCATGTCAAATAGTACGTGCATGTGTAGACTCTCTGACCAAAGGACCAATGATCGCACCTAACGACAAGCAAGGTTTGCGGAAATACGCTGATGACGCGCAAGTGATGTATGATACTCTAAATTCAATGAATTGTCTCGGTGAGATGAATGCTGATAACCTCGAGAAGATGATCCTCAGATTACCAAAGTGGGCGCAAGGCAAATTTGCAGAATATTTGAAGAAAATCGAGCGAGGCGGTTCAACGATGCCGACATTTCATAACATAGTTGACTTCCTGAAAGATCGCGCAGATGTTGCAAATCACCCTTTCTTCAGTAAAACATCGGAAAGTAATCGAGATGAGAAAGTTTTCGGAGGTGGTCAAAGACGCAGTAGTGAAAGACGAACTATCCTTACAACTCGAAGTAATAATCGTGATGATGTTTCAAAGGAACAATTGTGTCCAATGTGCAACAATCTTCACCCGTTGTATCGTTGCGAAGTTTTCAAGTCGAAGTCTCCAGAAGAGCGAGGCGAGTTTGTTAAGCGCAATAGAATCTGCTTCAATTGTATTACCTCAAAGGAGCATATCTCACGAACATGCAACTCTTCCATCCGTTGCAGAAGTCCTGGATGCGGTAAACCTCACCATACACTGTTACACATGAGTTCCCCTCCTAAAGAGAAGAAGACGAAATCCGATGTTGGAACAATGACATTATCTATTGATGAGTTTAAATCAACCAATAATTTAACTTCCAAACAAAGAAATGAAGTCTTGCTTCAAGTAATTCCTTTACGAATCATCAACGAAGATGGCAACCAGGTGGCGACATATGGTCTTATTGATTCAGGTTCTGATGTGACAATGATTGATCCCTCTCTGGTTGAACGATTGAGAATCAAAGGTTCCTCCGGTAGGATTTCCCTTTCCACTGTTAATACTAAAGATGTTGAAGAAACTGGTCTTAAAGTAGATTTTACGATAGCTCCCATTGATGACGACAACGACCTAGGAATCAATGTCAATGATGCCTGGGCGATCAAGGACTTAAACATCCCGCTCAAGCCATATTCTGTCGTGCGTCGAAGCGTTAACCAATGGCCTCACTTGAACGATCTCAAATTTCCCGAAGTAGAAAGACAGAAGATATCTGTCTTGATTGGCACTAACATCCCGGAAGCGTTCATTCCACTTGAAGTTAAGGAAGGAATGCCGTGCGAGCCTCTAGCAATAAAGTCGTGTCTTGGGTGGAGTGTCCAATGTCCGTTGAAGACCAATATGCCCAAAGAGTTATCGAAAGTACGATTTCGAAAGTAGATGGCCATTATCAAATGGGTTTGTCGTGGAAAGAGCAAAATCCTAGATTGCCATGTAACCGAGTGGTCGCTGAAGCTAGATTAAGCCACCTGAAGAAACGCCTTCAACGAGACCCTGAACTCCATAATAAGTACCGAGCCGTTATCGAGGATTACATGGTGAAAGGTTATGCAAGGAAAATGACCGCAGAAGAAGCGTCAGCCAGAAGTAATATAACGTGGTACCTTCCTCATCATCCTGTGTTTAATCCGAATAAATCTGGAAAAGTGAGAGTGGTGTTTGACGCAGCAGCAAAGTTTCAAGACACGTCCCTAAATGAACATCTCCTACAAGGTCCAGATCTTACGAACGATTTGGTCGGTGTTCTGATACGTTTTCGCCAAGATAGAATAGCATACGCTGCAGATATCAAAGCTATGTTTCATCAAACCCGAGTTATTTCCAAAGATACTGATGCCTGAAGATTCTTGTGGTGGAGCGACAGTATTGATGATCCTCCAGAAGAATACCAAATGCTGGTACATATATTTGGAGCAACCTCGTCCCCATGCTGTGCGAGTAAAGCATTGAGACATGTAGCAGACGACAACGAAAGCAAATTTGACCGTTCGCAGGAACTTTTACGTCGACGACAATCTAAAATCGGTCTCAACAATTCCAAAGGCAATATGGTTAGTGGAACAATTAACCAAACTACTGGCAGAAGGTGGTTTTCACCTCACCAAGTTTATCAGCAACAATCGGGACGTGTTGGCCTCAATACAACCTGACGAACGAGCGAATCCACTCTCAATTTAGATTTGGATGAGCTGACTATCGAACGCGTGTTAGGATTGCAGTGGGATGCAGAATCGGACACATTTCAGTTCAAGACCATATCAGTCAGTAAACCTTACACCAAGCGTGGAATCCTCTCAGTTGTGAGTTCCCTTTACGATCCTCTTGGTTTCCTCGTCAAAGTCTTGCTACAAAACCTGTGGAGGATTGGAGTTCAATGGGATGAGGAGATTCAAGATCCGTATCTTCTCCAATGGCAGAGATGGATTGAAGATTGCAACACATTTGCAGTATCAAGATACCAAGATGTTTCCTTGCATTCAATTTTGGCACCTTGGTCGAAGTTCAATTATATCACTTTTCTGATGCGTCCAAGATTGGTTATGCCGCTGTTACCTTTCTACGAATGCTGGATGATTCTGCGCAAATCCATTGTGCTTTTGTCATGGGAAAATGTTGTAATGCACCTATACGAGAATGGTCAATCCCTCGTTTGGAACTACAAGCCGCAGTTCTGTCTTCACGATTACACAAGTTAATCTACAACGAGCTGGAGTTAACAATTTCGAGGACATTCTTTTGGTCTGATTCTATGACGACGTTACAATACATCAAGAATGAAAGACGTCGATTCCGTCCGTTCGTGGCTAATCGCCTTAGTGAAATTCACGACGTATCATCACCAAGTGATTGGAGACACGTTCCAGGTGATCTTAATTCTGCTGACGATGGTTCAAGAGGAATGAAAATCAAAGCCTTTCAACCGACGTGTCGTTGGTGGACTGGTCCATCTTTCCTCTGGCAAGCTGACGAATGTTGGCCAACTCAGCGTGTAGGTGACGTTCCAGACAACGATACGGAACTCCAGACAGAGAAGCACGTGATGATCATTTCTCCTAGCGCTTCCTTAAACCAATTCCTACACCAATGTTCTTCATGGCCGCGTCTTCAAAGGCAAATGGCGTGGTTGTTGCGTTTTATCCAACATCTCAAGAATCCAGTTATTCCTTCGACAATGTCACCGATGATCACCTTTGCAGAGATGCGAGTTTCATCTTTGAAGATAGTCCGCATTATACAACGTCAGTACTTCCCAAACGAACTTGAGTCACTTCGAGATGGCAAACAATTTCTACCAACAGCAAGTTAGCAACCCTCAATCCAATCCTGATCGATGATGTCATCAGAGTCGGTGGAAGAATTCGTAATGCTCCCCTTCCTCTTGATGCAATGCATCCAATGATTCTGCCAAAGGAACATCACGTCTCTACTCTGATCGTACGCCTTAACCACCAGATCCTCGGACACGCTGGTCGTGAACATGTTCTTTCCTTTGTACGTCGACAGTTTTGGATATTGCAAGGACGAGCACTTACGCGGAAAATCTTACGAAATTGTGTTAATTGTCGAAAACGAAACGAAGCAGTGATGCAACAATTTATGGCGGACCTCCCAAGTGAAAGATTGATTCCGTATGAAGCTCCCTTTACCTACACTGGAATTGATTTCTTCGGTCCCTTCCTGGTCAAAAGAGGACGTTCAACAGAGAAAGTATACGGATGTATTTTCGTTTGTTTCAACAGTCGAGCAATTCATATAGAGGACGCTAGTTCATTAGAAGCTGACGTGTTCATACAAGCGTTAAGAAGATTTATCTTCAACCGTGGTTGTCCAAAAATGATTTGGAGTGATAATGGTACAAATTTCACTGGCGCAGAGAAGGAGCTTCGTCAATCCATTTGCAACTGGAAGAAGGAAACAATCCAGAATGAGATGAGATCGAAAGAAATTGAGTGGGAGATTTGTCCAATTTCCAAATGGCGTTTTCAACCTCCAGCAGCTAGTCATATGAGTGGGGTCTGGGAACGACTTATCCGCAGTGTAAGAAGATCAATAAAAGCGGTAATCGGTCACCCTCATGCCTTCCTGAGTAAAGAAACATTGCGTACCCTTTTTGCTGAAGTGGTTACCATCCTCAACAGCCGCCCACTCTGCCCTAGCAGTGAGGATCCTAACGATTTGGAACCCCTTACACCAAACCATTTATTACTACAACGCCGAAGTCTCGTTATCCCACCTGGCATGTTTACCGAAGAAGATCTACACTCTCGTAAACAATGGAGACGTGCCCAGTTTTTGGCTAACTGTTTTTGGACCAGATGGATGAAAGAATATTTGCCAATGCTACAAGAACGCCAGAAATGGATTCGGGAAAGAAGAAATCTGAAAGTCAATGATCTTGTGTTGGTAGTTGATAAAAACATTCCCCGTGGACGTTGGTTGCTTGGCCGATGTATGAAGGTATTCCCTGGTCGTGATGGTCGTGTCAGGACAGCCGAAATAAAGACAAAGGAATCCACTTTGATTCGCCCAATCTCAAAATTATGTTTGTTGGAAGAAGCTGGACAATCATGATGTATCAACTTATACTGAACCATATATACTAATATTTGACTTTAATGAGTGAGTTTATTAAGATAGTGAGTGACATTTAAGTCTATTTATGTTAGGTTATTGAACACTGAATGAACCCTTTTCATTCAGGGGGCCGAGGATGTTGTGGCTAATCCAACAACAATACAACAATACAATGACTAATTAGATTAGTTATGCATGACGAACATCGAATATTTAAACAGGCATAAAAAGCCAACACCCTGACTCATGTAAAGTATTCAAAGTAAGCAAAGCATTAAGCAAGTATTCAGCAAAGTATTCGAAGTATTAAGCAAAATTATCAAGTAAACCAACCCAAGCAAGCCATATTCCCGCACATTGGTAAGTTTATCTATTCTATAATGTACGTGTGTAAATATTGTTTATATGTAAAGGACTGTAGTATAATTGTAATGCATGTTTCTGTAGGAATTTTACAAGTGTGTTAAAACCCGTGTGCTGGGATGGTGAAAGGTGTAAAGTACTAAAAGCAAAATAAAAGTCAAGATTGATTAAAGCGTTCGAACCCTGTTTCGTACATATACTACATACACATACATATACACATATATACTACATACACTATATATATACTGTTACTGGAGGTGAATAAAAGCAACCTCAGTCCTGGCCCCCTAACTGACCCTTCCACCGTAGCTGTGCTCCGTGATCAGACATGAGTCATAAGGTGACTGCCAGAGGCGCCCTTAGAAAGCCTTCCACTCGATCAGGTTGAGCTGCGTCCTTCGTAATTCAGCTTTCAGCTGCAAGTTAAGATGATTAGTATACCCCATGAATGAATGATTTTTTCTGTGTTGGTGTAATGTACTCAGGTGAATATGTTGTTTTTGATGTTACTCTGAGTGTATATCCACACTGGGCAACCTCGAAAAATATGCCTGGTCACGGTGGGGATACTAGATTACATTGATATCGAAGGAACTAGACTCTGTTCCGAAATACCACATACTCGAACCGACCTGACCGCGTAGCTCAGTTGGCAGAGCATTGGGCTAGTATTCCAAAGGTCGTAGGTTCGATTCCCACCGTGGCCAGGCATACTCAGTAACATCACAAGCATCATACCCCATGAATGTTTGTTAATTTTGTTTTGTGTTATGATTTAGCCGGACCATCACAGTTCACGCAAAGCCGCCGTATGTTCTTGGTATTGACCTGGGAACTTCGACAACATGCATGGCTATAATCAAGGAAGATGGCACAAGACAAGATATCGGAATCTATGTGGATGACAGCGATGTCGACCCGTGCATACCATCCATTGTTGCTTTTGCTCAGAATGGGGAACTTCTTGTTGGCGAGGAAGCATTGCGCCAAGCTGTCGTTAACCCGCACTCGACAATCTATGAGGTGTGTAGTTTGTTCCTTATTTCACTCTATAGTATACTTTATATTTTTGGCATAAATACATCCTTTCGATAATTTCGTCACACATACTTTTTGATCTTCGGAGCCTCGCTCTCATTAGTAAATTACGCAAGGTGATTGGCTCACGATTCATGAGAGCGAGGCTCCCAGGCCAAATAAAGTAATTTTCGAAAGGGTGTATTGGTTGTTAACAGAAGTTATTATCATCAGGTTAAAAGACTAATGGGACGAAGTTATTACGATGATCCAGATCACAAGTTTGTCTACCGAGTCAGGCCAACGCTTAAATCTCATTCCCTAAAAGGCGTTCGTGCTGCCGTCGAGATTCCGTGCGGAAAATTTCGCAAGAAGCTCGTACAACCGGAGTTAATTAGTGCACTGATATTACGTCATGTTGCCGATCATGCGCAAAGGTAATCATGTCAACTTTATTTACCTATAATTAGAATATCATTGTTTTTAGCGTATAGCGAGGTGGATAGTGCTTTTCATGTAATTTGATTGATTGCTCAGCTTCGGATATTCTTGCACTATTCACCTTCCGAAAAATGCAAAATGGCTTCCCGTTTCGTTCTGGTTACGGAGTTCAAAAGGCAGAATTCCCTTTTCAAATGCCAGAACTCCCTTTTCAGATGCCGAAACGTCCTTTTCAAAAGGCAGAACTCCCTTTTCAAATGCCAGAATTCCCTTTTCAAAAGGCAGAACTTCCTTTTCAAATGCCAGAACTCCCTTTTCAGATGCCGAAACGTCCCTTTCAAATGCCGAAACGTCCTTTTCAAATGCCTAAACGTCCTTTTCAAATACCAAAACATCCTTTTCAAATGCCAGAACTCCCTTTTCAAATACAAGGACTCCCTTTTCAAATGCCAAAACTCCCTTATCAAATGCCAAAACGTCCTTTTCAAATGCCAAAACATCCTTTTCAAATGCCGAAACGTCCTTTTCAAATGCCAAAACGTCCTTTTCAAATGCCGAAACGTTCTTTTTCAAATGCCGAAACGTCCTTTTCAAATGCAAAACGTCCTTTTCAAATGCCGAAACTCCTTTTCAAATGGCAGAACTCTTTTTTCAAATACCAAAACTCTTTCAAATGACAGAACTCCCTTTTCAAATGGCAGAACTCCCTTTTCAAATGGCAGAACTCTTTTTTCAAATACCAAAACTCTTTCAAATGACAGAACTCCCTTTTCAAATGGCAGAACTCCCTTTTCAAATGGCAGAACTCTTTTTTCAAATACCAAAACTCTTTCAAATGACAGAACTCCCTTTTCAAATGGCAGAACTCCCTTTTCAAATGGCAGAACTCTTTTTTCAAATACCAAAACTCTTTCAAATGACAGAACTCCCTTTTCAAATGGCAGAACTCCCTTTTCAAATGTCTCCGAAACGTCCTTTTCAAATGCCGAAACGTCCTTTTCAAATGCCGAAACGTCCTTTTCAAATGCCAAAACTCCCTTTTCAAATGGCAGAACTCTTTTTTCAAATACCAAAACTCTTTCAAATGACAGAACTCCCTTTTCAAATGGCAGAACTCCCTTTTCAAATGGCAGAACTCTTTTTTCAAATACCAAGCTGCTTTCGCCAAACACTATGAAAACGATCTTGACGATCATGTGTTTTCATATAATGTTTATTGAATCCCGTTAATAACTTCAGCAGACTTCGAAAATAAGCTAACTGTATCATTCAGGTACCTTGGAGTTGCTGTTAAAGACGTAGTCATCAGCGTACCGGCACAGTTTGACGACGCCCAAAGAAAAGCGACCATGGACGCCGGCCTGATTGCGGGTTTGAATCCAGTGAAGATCGTGAATGAGCCTACAGTGGCCGCCTTTGCTGCAAACAGCCTGACAGAGGTAAGTTTGTAATTAAGAGTACGAGGCAATTCCCGGCATGACACAATGTACAAACAGTGATTTTGTTATCAGGCACGTCGCGAAGTTTTTTACTGGGTGAAAAGTTCGCGCGAGTCAAGAATTAATGCTTCTTGTTCTTTGCGCTTTTCAGTACTAATGTAAACCAATTTGAAAAACCAACAACTATTTTGAGCAAATATTTTTCATTTTGACCAACTTTTTGAACTTAAACACACCCAGTAGCGATGACTCCCTGTTTGTTATCCTTCTCATACTTCTCATCACGCAATATTTTTATCTAGACAACCACTAATCATTTTGCACTCAAGACTCTGTTTTCAAATGCCAGAACACCTTTTCAAAAGCCATAACTCCCTTTTCAAACGCCAAAAACTCTCTTTTCAAATGCCAGAACTACCTTTTCAAAAGCACCCCTTAACTGTAATGCTGTGCATTTAGTCTATTAATC